CAGGGTTGGACTTCAGCCCTTGCTTGGGCCTGAGGTGTTGCTTGTCACTTTGGCAAACATTTGCTTAGTGCCAGTACACCCAGGTGGGAATTTTAAGAAAAAACAGTTTTTGCTGTAATGATGATAGTTAAAGGTAGTGGAAACAGTTAAGAGCAGTGTTTCTAAGCCTTTGTTGGGTCATGGGGGGGGGTGCCTTAGAGTATGTTGTGTGATCAAAGATCAGAAATCCCAGAAAAATGTCATTACTCTGTCACGAGCTGCTTGAATCCTGCCACGTGGTACCGCTGTTTCTGAATCCTTTCTGTGTCCTGCAGATCTGCGACGAGCTGGGAGTGAAACGGCCATCTTCGGTGAAAGTATTCTCAGGCAAAAGTGAGTGAACTGCTACCGCCTTCTTTCCCGGTTCCTTGGCTGTAGGCGGGTGGACCCGATTCCTGCTCAGGTCCGCCTGAAACAAACTTGGTGTTCTGATCAGGTGAACGCAGCTCCTCTGGGCTGCTGGAGTGGGAATCCAAGAGTGATGCCCTGGAGACTTTGGGCTTCCTGAATCATTACCAGATGAAAAACCCAAGTGAGTATCTGTGTGTCCTGTAGTCCTCACCCTTGTGGCCTGATGCTGGGCTGGCTTCAGGCCAGAGCCGGCCTCCCTGCCATCAACATAGGGCCCCAGAGATCGCTTCACTGGTGCCGACATGGGCAGGCGGGACCTGGTCACCAGGAGATTAGCCTGATGGTCCCTGTGGGAGGGAGATCCAGCCTGGCTGCTTGCCGCCGCCTGCTCTGCCAGCCTCAGGGTTCCTAAGACTCGTCCTCCAGGCACTGGTGTTCCGTGCGTCAGAAGCTGCCAGTAAACACTGAGCACTGTCTGTCGCACAGGCTGGCTCGGAGGGTACCCAGGAAAAGGGCTGATCTGGCCATCGGGGAACATCTGCCCACTTGCAACCTGGGCCAGCTGGGGAGCTGGGAATGGATTCCCCGTGGAATCGAAGGCGGGGGCGGGGAAGTCCCTTCAGTATTGGGCTTGATTGTAAGTCTCACGTTGGGCAGTGACTAGTTAGATCCCTGCAGCCGAACAGCAGAAATGGAGGAGGGGCCGGGTGGTCGGCACCTGCAGAGGAGGAGGGGTGCAGCCAAACCTGTCTTCTTTGCAGATGGTCCATATCCTTACACTCTGAAGTTGTGTTTCTCCACCGCTCAGCACGCCTCCTAATAGGTGATCCAGAAGAGTCCCATCTGAGCAGGAAAACGTTTCTCTTTCCTTTATGCTGTTTGTTTTGTTTTGTTTCTGGGTTTTGTTTTGTTTTTTTCCGTTTTCCTTTTTTTTTTTTTTTTTTTGGCAAAAGTTCCTGTATTCCTTTTTTTAAATGCTAGGTTAGTGGGCTTAACCATAACGGAAATGCTGGAAGTCTGGAGGGGGAGGGGAAGGGGACCTGATATCTCCCAAGATTAACGTTCACTTTTTAAGAAATTATTGTACGTGTGATTTTTTTTTTTTTTCCTGTTCATATATTTGTGCTGCCCATGTACTCTTGGCACATTTCAATAAAATTGTTTGGAAAATAAACATTGCGCTTACTACGATTCCAGGGTGTGTCTGTTTCCCTCCCACCTGGTCTCCTGCCTAAGAGCAGGCAGGCTGGGACACAGCTATGGGCCGTTGGGAGCTGCCGGCCCAGCCCAGGAATGCGGCAAGGAATTAAAAGGAATCTGGTGAGGAAAATCTGGGAGGGCTGGTGTCATTCTTCATGGGCCCTGCTCAAGGAAGCTAAATCTAGTTGGAGAGTCCTCTTTTAAGAAGTAAATGGTGTTGGGACGCCTGGGTGGCTTAGTGGGTTAAGCCGCTGCCTTCGGCTCAGGTCATGATCTCACGGTCCTGGGATCAAGTCCCGCATCGGACTCTCCGCTCAGCAGGGAGCCTGCTTCCCTCTCTCTCTGCCTGCTTCTCTACTTGTGATCTCTTTCTGTCAAATAAATAAATAAAAATCTTAAAAAAAAAAAAAAAAGAAGTAAATGGTGCTACAAATTTCAAGAGTTAAAAGAAAAAGAGCGCTTTCATCCTGCCAAGTAAGTACTTGGTTTTTATGAGATTGGAAAATAAAATCTCAGGTAAAAGTGAAGGTCTGCTCCCCAGTCCCTTTAACAGTTTTTGACGTCTTTCCCCACCCATGTAAATTGTTTTTTTTCTTTTAACAAAATGCTTTATGCTGTGCACTGTTCTGTATCATATCCCATACATAGCTTCCTTCCGCAGTATCTCATGGGGAATGTCATTTCCCTTTCCCCGGTCTTAAAAGTAAAATCTAGTTTCTTGGCTACTGTAAACAGTACTGCTATGCATGCAAATGCCTCAAGCCAACTTCCCTGATAACTGATCTGGAGGTAAATTCCTAGTAGTGGAATTGCTGAGTTAAAAGATAATTCAGGGTCGAGCGCCTGGGTGGCTCAGTGGGTTAAGCCGCTGCCTTCAGCTCAGGTCATGATCTCGGGGTACTGGGATCGAGTCCCGCATGGGGTTCTCTGCTCAGCGGGGAGCCTGTTTCCCTCTCTGCCTGCTTGTGATCTCTGCCTGTCAAATAAAATCTTTAAAAAATAATAATTCAGGGTGTCTGATGATTTGGGGCATCTGGTTAAGACACCAAGAAGCCTTGATCTCAAGTCTTGGTCTCAGGGTTGTGAGTTAAAGCCCAGTGTTGGGTTCCATGCTGGGGGGTTCCCTGGTGGCTCAGTCTCCCTTCAGCTCTGGTCGTGATCTCACAGTCTTGGGATCAGCCCTCTGTATCAGGCTACCTGCTTGGCAGGAAGCCGGCTTCTCCCTCTCCCATTGCCCCTGCTTGTGTTCCCTCTCCAGCCTGCTCCCTCTCACACACCCCCCCCACCTTGTGTTCCTTTCTCCCAGTGTCTGTCAAATAAAAAATTAAAAACCAAAAAACTTTACAATGTAATACTCTGCAATTGTGGTAGATGGAAACTTGTGTATATGGGGTGGGGCATGGGGACCTGTAGGTGGAAGGAGCCTGCTTTAAGAACCTTGACTCAGGCTGGAAAAAAGCAGCAGTCTGCTGCAAGAGAACAAGTGAGGACCGTTGACTGTGCCTTGTTCGTGCATGTGCACCTGAAAACTCACTGGGACACATGGCTGGCTCAGTCCGTGGAGCGGGTGATTTGAGCTCTGGGTTGTGAGTTTGATGTCCACATTGGGTGTAGAGAGATCTTTTTTTTTTTTTTTTTTTTTTTTTTAAGATTTTATTGATCGATTTGACAGAGACAGAGAGAGGGAACAGAAGCAGGGGGAGTGGGAGAGGGAGAAGCGGGCTTCCCACCAAGCAGGGAGCCCGATGTGGGGCTCCATCCCAGGTGGCTGGGATCATGACCTGAGCCAAAGGCAGACACTCAATGACTCAGCCACCCAGGCGGCCCTGGCGTAGAGATTTCTTAAGCTCAGTTTGTTAAGGGTCTGTCTTCTGCTTGGGTAATGATCCCAGCCAGGATCAAGCTCCTCATCAGGCTCTCTGCTCAGTGGGGAGTCTGCTTCTCCCTCTGCCCCTCACCCTGCTCTTGTGCTCTCTCTCTTTCTCTCAAATAAATAAATTTTTAAAAATCTTAGAAAAGGGGGCACCTGGGTGGCTCAGTGGGTTAAGCCTCTGCCTTCAGCTCAGATCATGATCTCAGGTTCCTGGGATTGAGCCCTGCATTGGGCTCTGCTCAGTGGGGAGCCTGCTCCCCACCTCCCCGCCCCTGCCTGTCTCTCTGCCTACTTATGATTTCTGTCAAATAAAATCTTAAAAAAAAAAAATCTTAGAAAAAACCCACTTGAATTTATTGTGAAGTTTTTGAACTCAGATTATTCACATCTGAAGTCACATGGCATGTATGGAATGAAGAAACTGCTTCACCAGGGTAAGTTTCAAACAACCTCTGGAAAGGAGAAACAAGAGTTGCCTTACAGCCATAAACCTCTGAATCCTCTAGGATTTGTTTTCAGGCCAGTCATGGGCGTAAGAAAATATTCCAATTTTTGCCTCCCAGCACCCAGTTTTCATCCCTTGTCAGCAGTTTTGAATCTCCTTCCAGATATCCTCTATGTATATACTATATTCTATGCACACACAGCCATATGTAACCATCTTTTTTACACCAACAGATCATGCTAAATGTACATCCTTCACTTCTCTTTGGGCACCTGGCTGTCTTAACTGGTAGAGAGTGTGACTTTGGATCTTGGGGTTGTGAGTTTGAGAAATTTAAAATTGTTCCTCTCGTGTGTTGGTGTCTGCACAGTGGCTTCAGAGCTTCCCATTGTATGGATAACTAAAAACAGCTCTCTGTCAATGTAAGTCACTGGGTCTTTTCCAGGAGGCCTCTGTTCACCTTGGTGCACTTCTCCCTGAAGAGCATACTTAAGCAATTTTATGGCACTTTCAATGCTCTTGGGTTAACTGGCTTTTTCCAACATAGTTTTATTTTTAAAAGAAATTATTTTAAGAACGTGAACTTCAGAGCCACAGAAATCCCTTCTTCAGCACCCCTGAAGCCCAGATAACCTTGAGCTAATGACTCCCTCCCCCAAGCTCCAGTTTCCTCTGGGCAAAATAAAATATAGTACGACCTCTTGGTGGTGTGAGAATTCAAACAGATTACACAGAGAGCGCTCAATGTTAGCTCCTCTATATTTTCATTGCCTTACAGGGGTAAACTCAGTACTGAAGAATTTTTTTCTTTTCCGTTAACAAGGTATAAGTGCATGTGACAAAATTGCAAGGTTGCAGTAATTCTGCCATTATATTTTTGAGCATTTCAGCTGTCTCCAATTTTTCCACCATTATAAAACAGCGCTGTGACGAAATGTCCCGCAGCAATAATGGGCACGTTCCTACTGGGGCAAAAGGCACAATGTTAAGCCGCGGTCTGCGGACCAGGAAGGGCATTTCCGGTTACCCTTAGTAAAGATGGCGGAAAGACGGGCGTCACCGCTATCAAGCTGCGGCGTCCGTGCCCTCGCCAAACATGGTGGCGTCGTGCCCGCCCCCTTGGCTTCTTCCTGTCTCTTGGGTTAGTCACCTTAGCTACTAGTTTGCGATGGCGGCATCCGTGGCGGTGTCTCGTTGTCTGCGGAGCCTGCTGATACGACGTGAGTCACCTCGACCTCTGGAAGTCCATTGCTCTGTAGTGCTGTCATAGCCACCTTAGGATGGGGAGGCCTGTCCCAGGACCCGGTCTGACCACCTTAACACTAGGGTGCATATGCTTCCAACCAAAGAACTCCCTAATTTTGTAAGCCTGTGTCTTACAGTTGGGTTGCTGACAGCTTAGTGTTCCCAGTGTGGGGTCAGCCCCATGATCAAGGGTCTGAAGGTGTCTTCACACTGAGGCCACTGATAAGTGCACTCCTAATCTGAAAGCTTATATCCCCCCTAACCTGAGATTTCCTAGGGACCTGCGTTCCCCAGTCTAACATCAGTGAGGGGAAATGTGTGTGCCTTCAGCTCTTGAAAGCACTGTGTCCCCTACCTGGGGTCATCAAAGGCTCTTTCCTCTGTCTCCCCAGGAGTGATGGCTCCCACCCCCCTAGGTCTCAGCCTTAGGCTTTGCCCCATGAGCTCCATTGCTCAAGATGAGACCTCCACAGCAGCCCCCAGAGATGCGCCAGACTACAACTATGAGTCCCTTCGGGTGACAGAGGCTCAGAAACACATCCTGCATGTGCAGCTAAACCGGCCTGAGAAGAGGAATGCCATGAACAAAGCCTTCTGGAGGTAGGGCCTGCAGATCACGGAGGACTGCCTGCAGGAGGAGGCAGGGGCTGAGAGAATGGGTAGGGGTGGAGTGTGGGGGGTAGGTGACACGAGGGCAGGGGATACCCTTCCAAAACACAGCCTTTCTCTTCTTGCCCCTCCCAGAGAGATGGTGGAGTGCTTCAACAAGATAGCACAAGACCCCGACTGTCGGGCTGTGGTGATCTCTGGTGCAGGAAAATTGTTCAGTGCAGGTACTGGGTACTCTCCACCCCCGCCTCTACTAGTCTCCCCCATTTCCTGGAAATAGAGCAATGCTTCTTAACTAGGGTTTCAACCAGCTTCTAACTTCCACTTTTATCTTTTTTTTTTTTTTTTTTAATTTAAAACATTTAAATACCAAAGTGCGTCCAACAGAACATTACAGGATGATGGACTTTAAAGTCTGGTCCATGGTCTTGGCCAAGGCCCTTAACCTCTCAGTCTGTTTTTTTGTTTTTTTGGTGTTTTTTTTTTTTAAAGATTTTATTTGTTTGAGATAGAGAAGGCACAGAGGAAGAGGGAGAAACAGCCTCTCTGGTGAGCAGAGAGCCCGAAGTGGGGCTCGATCATGGCCCGAGCCAAAGACAGATGCTTAACTGGCTGAGCCACCCAGGCGCCCCTGTTTTGTTTTGTTTTTAAATGTCACTAAAGTGGGGCGCCTGGGTGGCTCAGTGGGTTAAAGCCTCTACCTTCGGCTCAGGTCGTGATCTGAGGGTCCTGGGATGGAGCCCCACATCGGGCTCTCTGCTCAGCGGGGAGCCTGCTTTCCCCTTTCTCTCTACCTGCCTCTCTGCCTACTTGTGATCTCTGTCTGTCAAATAAATAAAATTTTAAAAAATAAATAAATAAAATAAATGTCACTAAAGTGTACTAAAATAACGTGCTTTCATATAATTACTCAACACGCACAAACTGATTTCCAGTTACATGACTGTTTGAACTTTTAATTGTCCCACAGATCTGTTCTTCAGACTGGATCATTTCCATTGACCACATTCACTGAATCCTTTGTCATCTCTATGCTGCTTGGAAGCCCATCTAGCGATTTTTAAAATTTCAGATACTGTAGCTTTTGTTTCTCAAATTTCCACTTGGTTCTTTTTTTGTATTTGCCATTTCTCTCCTGAAGTTCCATGGCTTGTTATGTATCACGAGCATATTTCTCTTTGCATCTTTGTTCTAACCACTGCTTTAAAACTTTTGCCTCCTGATTCCAACGTCTGGGTGACCTTGGGGTCAGTCTCGGTGCATTATCTTTTCTCTTGAAAGACTGAGCCTCATTCTTCTGTTTGTTTGCATTTGGAATAAATTTGGACTGTATCCCGGTTATTAGGATATGGAAAGATGCTGTGGAAACTCTGGGTCCTATGCTGTACCTCCAAAGAATGTTGAGTTTCCTGTTTTAGCAGCTTAGTTGGAATCAGTTGTTTTTGTGGTTTTTTTTTTAAGATTTTATTTATTTATTGGACAGAGATCACAAGCAGGCAGAGAGGCAGGCAGAGGGGAGGGGGGAGGGAAGCAGGCTCCTTGCTGAGCAGAGAGCCCAACGTGGGGCTTGATCCCAGGACCCTGGGATCATGACCCGACCCGAAGGCAGAGGCTCAACCCACTGAGCCACCCATACGCCACTTGAGTCAGTTTTTTGGTTTTTTTTTTTTAAGATTTTATTTACTTATTTGACAGAGAGAGAGATCTTCAAACACAACTTCCAGCCTCCTCTCAATCTAGAAATTTTAAAAACAGCCAACTTACAGGGCGCTTGGGTGGCACCGTCCATTAAGGGTCTGACTCTCGGTTTCAGCTCTGGTAGTGATCTCAGGGTCATAAGATTGAGTCCCATGTTGGGGCTCCAAGCTCAATACAGAGTCTGCTTGAGATTTCTTTCTGCCTCTCTCTTTGCCCTTGAGCTCATGCCCTTTCTCCACCCCCGCCCAAGATAAATAAATGAATCTTTTTTTCTTAAGATTTTCTTCATTTATTTGCAAGAGAGAGTGAGCAAGAGAGAGCATCAGCTGGGGGAGAGCCAGAGGGAGAGGACTCAGTGGTGACTGAGGCAGCCCCAGGCCCTGGCGTCATGGAGGTTGTCAGCCCAGTGGGGAAGACAGAGAGTAAACAATCTGTTTCTGGTTGTTTCCCCTGTTAACTTCTTTACGTGTCCCGTGTTTACTTTCTTTTTTTAAAGATTTTATTTATTTATTTCACAGACAGAGATCACAAGTACACAGAGAGGCAGGCAGAGAGAGGGGGGAAGCAGGCTCCCCACTGAGCAAAGAGCCTGATGTGGGGCTCGATCCCAGGACCCTGGGATCATAACCTGAGCTGAAGGCAGAGGCTTTAACCCACTGAGCCCCCCATGTTTACTTTCTACCCCCTCTCCATTCTCCTTTTGTTGATTTTGTTCCTTTGGGCCAGAAACACTCCAGTGCTAGCCCCTTTCTGAGTGCCAGTGACCTAGAAAACAGGCAAGTGGGCCCTGGTTCTCGGCCCTCATCCTCATGGCACTTATGCCTGAGAAGCGAAAGATGGGGTTACAATGGTGGCGGTGCCAGGCCTGGGGCCCTCACCTTTCTAGCTCCCAGCTGACCATAGCTGTCTGGTTCCATTTCCAGCAGCAAGGCTCTCAAGGCCAGAAAGAAGAAACTCAATGTAATTAGTAGTTCCAACGATAGAACGGAACCATTAATTAAGGAAAAAAAAAAAAAGAGGGAAGTAGCCCACAGTTATTTAATATCTGCAGAGTGTCTGGACATGGTTCACATATTAATTAATTCTCCCCGGATCCCTTCCAGACAAGTGCAATTATCATCCCCTATTTTATGTGTGAAGAAACTTGCCCGGTTCTCACAGATGGGAAATGGCAGAGCTGAGATTTTTTTTTTTTTTTGGTGAGAGAGAGAGAATGCTTGTGAGAACAGAAGCAGAACAGAGGGAGTGAGAGAGAATCTCAAGCAGACTCCCCACTGAGCACAGAGCCCAGTGTGGGGCTCGATCTCACTACCCTGAGATCATGACCTGAGCTGAAATCAAGAGTCAGATGCTTAACCTACTGAGCCCCCCAAGTGCCCCTGAAACGTGTAGGACTTTTGTTGATGTAGCTGTTACTATTTAGAATAGTGACTAACGGGACTAGGATTATGAATGAGATCTGGAGTATTTAGAGGTTCCCAGGGGAGCCAGATGGGGGACTTTTTTTTTCTTTATTTATTTGAGAGAGATGGAGAAAAAGTGCACAAGCATGGGGAGCAGCGGGCAGAGGGCGAAGCAGACTCCCTGCTGAGCAAGGAGCCTAATGTGGGGCTCAATCCCAGGACCCTGAGATCATGACCTGAGCCGAACAAAAGCAGAGAGATGCTTAAGTGATGAAGCCACCTGAAGTGAGCAGTTCTTACCTGGGAGAGAGGACACCTAGGACCACAGTCTGGTCCCTTATCTCAAGGGGTTGCAAAAGCTGGGTGTGTGCAGGGATGGGTAGGGTGGGTAAACCGGAAAAGCCAGTGAAAGGAGGTGTCACAAGGTGCCTCGCTGGGTTCTGGGAGCCCCACCACCACCGTGGGTTCCACTGAGTCACACAGGCTTCACAAACGTGCTGTGGAAGCTGGCAGATGCTGGTGGGCAGATCCGGGTGGTTCTGGCCTCCGTTGAAATGGGGCGCATAGCAACAGTAACTGTGACGCCAGGACATGACAGGCACGGAGAGAAGGGCCTCTGGGGCTCTGTCTCCTCCAGTCCTTGCATCTCCATCGGCTCTCAGGAGGGTTTTGCCCTCATTTTCTGGAGAAGAAACTCAAGGCCCAGAGGATGAAGTGGTCTGGCCAAGGTCACACAGAGGAGTTCTGTCTTACCGATATTTACTTCATTGAAATTCAGCTCTACCCTGAGCCAGAATTCCTCAGGTCTCTCTTACTTAAACAAGCTGTGGAGGCCGGGGAGCCCCAGAAGACTGGGGTGTGGCCACATATGGGAATGGTTTTTCAGGTTTGCCAGATAGCATTGTTCAGAGGCAAAAGGATAACAATGATTAACCCCAGGAGGAAGAAGATGATGGATGATTCTGCTCAGAACCCTCTCATAGCAAGATCTCCCTCAGAGTAAAAGCCAAAGTCCACCCCCTGGAACATGAGGCCCCACACGGTCTGCCTGGTCATCTAGGTCCCCGCCTCCTCCGTGTTCCTCACACGGACTAGGGGCATTCCTACCACAGGGCCTTTGCACTGGCTCTTCCTGACATTTGGAACTCTCTGATCCCAGATATCCCTATAGCTCCCTCCCTCTCCTTCTTCAGATCTTTACTCAAAACTCACTTTTTCAGGTGTGCCTGAGTGGCTCAGTCAGTTAAGCATCCAACTCTCAGATTTGGCTTAGGTCATGATCTTAGGGTTGTGAGATGGGGGCCCCCTCATCAGGCACCATGCTAAGTATGGAGCCTGCTTAAGATTCTCTCCCTCTCCTTCTGCCCCTCTACCTCTCCCATCCCACCCACCCCTGCTCATGCACACACTCTCTCTTTAAAAAAAGTCACTTTTTCAGGGAGATGGCCCCTGACCACCCCATTTATTTATTTATTTTTAAGATTGATTTGTTTATTTTAGAGAGAGAGCAAGGAGGAGGGGCAGAAGGAGAGACAGTCCCAAGCAGATTCCATGCTCAGCACCCAGCCCAGCCCAGGGTGGAATCATAAGACCCTTAGATCTTGACCTGAGCCGAAACCATGAGTCAGTCCCTCAACTGCCTGAGCCCCCCAAATGCCCTCCTGACCACCCCATTTAATACCACAACAGCCATCGCTACACCTACACACCCCAACACACTCCACTCCCTGCTGTAATTTTCTTCCAGCACTTGTCACCACCAGACAAACACTAGGCTCTGTTTAGGCACTGGGGATGCAGTAGTGGACAGAGAGCCAGAACTCCACTCTGATGATTAGGAATGAGACCTGGAGCATTTAGAGGTATGGAGAGAGAGCACATGTTTAGAGATATTTAGAGCACATAGAGAGAGCTCACATTCTAGAGGGGGAGACAGGCACTAAATGAGTTAAGCACATTATATGATAAGGAGAGGGCAGTGACCAAGATAAACACAGAGGGAGATAGAGGGTGATGGGGCTGCTCCTCAGCCGTGGTAGCCTGAGTGGGCCTCCCCAAGGAGGTGACCTTTGAGCTGTGGCCTGATGGATCAGTCTTCTTCTTTTTTTTTTTTAAGATTTTATTTATTTATTTATTTATTTATTTGACAGAGAGAGAGAGCACAAGCAGGTGGGGAGGGGTGGGGGGAGAGGGAAAAGCAGACTCCCCACTGAGCAGGGAGCCTGATGCAGGGCTTGAACCCAGGACCCTGAGATCATGACCTGAGCTGAAGGCAGACGCTTAAGCTGAAGGCAGCCCCCCAGGTGCCCCTGGAGTCAGTCTTCTGACCACTACTGGGGGAGGGACTGTTCTAGGCAGAGAGCTGTAGGTAGAAAAACAAAGCCCTGGGAAGGGACTGTGTGGTCGTGTTGGCACAAAAGTTGGAAGCCTGTGTGCCCAAAGCAATAGTCTGGGAATGGTGTTCATGAGGGCTGGTAAGGTTTTGGCACACATCTTGTATCTTCTTCCAAGTGAGTGAGATGGGAGGGAAGAGAAGGAGGCCCTGACGTGCTCACCAGTTTGTTTGCCTGCATATGGGGACCAGTCAGGGCAGGGCTGGGAGCAGGGAGACCACGGGAAACTATTTCAGCCAGAGTACAGATTCCTGGAGAATGATTCGTGGAGGAAAGGTTAGATTTGAGATCGTCTTGCAGTTGGAGCCCACAGAAATTGCTCCATCTCCAGTCTTCCTGACTAAATGTTACCACCACGGACTCATGCCCAGACACTTGTCTCCTCTGCCGCCTGGTGTGATGGTGAAAAGCATGACCTCTGGAGCCAGTGCATGGTTCTGGGCTTAAAGTCCCAGTGCCAGTGCTCCCAAGCCAGTGTGACCTTATTGAGCAAGTAACTTAAGTGTCACATGCCTCAGTTTACCCCCAGTAAAATGGAGATAGTAATAGGACCCACCTCATAGGCCTGTTGGGAGGATAAAGTGAGTAATGACCCTGTAAATGTTAGCTTTTGTTGATTTCACACCCCATATGCTATCCCTTGCTAGATCCTGCGTGAGCACCCTTCTCCACTGTGGTGGTTTGGGGGTTCGAATCTGCTAAGTCTGAGTTCTGACCTCTAATTGGGGCAATGAGGGCGGCAGGGGAAGGGGGTGCCTGGGAGGCTATGTGAACCTCCTCATGCCTCCCCACCAGGTATCGACCTTATGGACATGGCTTCGGAAATCCTACAGCCCCAAGATGACGTAGCCCGCACCAGCTGGTACCTCCGTAGCCTCATCAGCAAATACCAAGAGACCTTCAGTGTCATCGAGAAGGTTCTCTGGGGGACTATTGGGGCACACACCCCCCCGAACCCTGTCCATCCTTCCTGGACCAGCTCTGACCCCACCCTTCCTGCCCCCTCTTGCAGTGTCCAAAGCCCGTGATCGCCGCCATCCATGGGGCCTGCGTTGGTGCAGGTGAGTCTGAGCAACCCACCACCCATCCAGGCACCTGGTGTAGCTGGGTGCCTGTTGGCTGGCTGCTGCCTGTCCGACTCAGCCAGGGACCTCCAGCCTCAGATCAGCTGCTAGTTAAACCCTGCCCAGAGGCACAACCCCATCTTCTGGGAGGAGGGGCTGGTCCTTGTGGTTGGTCAATGCCCCTGACCTCCCCCTTGCAGGCGTGGACCTCATCACTGCTTGTGACATCCGGTACTGTGTCCAGGATGCTTTCTTCCAGGTGAAGGTGAGCCCTCCTCCTGCGCTCCTTCCTCAGATCCTGCTTAGAGGTGGGCGATGCGTGGCAGGTCGGGGGGAGTAGAGCTGCAAAAGAACAGGTTAAGGGGGTGGGGGTGAGAGTGAATGTGAGAAGCAAGGGCCTCATGGAAGAGTTAGTCAGAATTGAGCCTTAAAAAGTAACACTTTGGGGGTGCCTGTGGGGGGCTCAGTTGGTTAAGCATCCAACTTGATTTTGGCTCAGGGTCATGAGATCGAGCCATGCATCGGGCTCCACATTCAGTGGGGGGAGTCTGCTTGGGATTCTCCCTCTCCCCGTGCCATTCCCCCTGCTCTCTCTCTCTCTCAAATAAATAAATACATCTTAAAAAAAAAAAAAAGGCACTTTGGCCATGAAGGAAGGGAAGGGGAGGCCGTGCAGTCCACGTGGGGTTTGGAGTGAGTAAAGGTATGGGGGTGAGGAGGAAGTTGGGGTTGCTGCTGGGATCAGTGATGGGGAGGACCCAAGGCAGGATGGAGCCTGTAGAGGCAGTGGGGGTCAGACAGGGAGGGCTGCAGGGCTTCCCTCAGGAGATGTGACTGACCTCAAGGAGTTGGGAAGGCAGAGGAATTGGGAGGTGGGCTGTGTTCTGGGCTGAAGGATGACAACGAAATGGGGTGTTTGAGGGGCAGTCTCTGAGGTGGGAGTGGGGTCGCTGCAGGAGATGCTAGATTTCATTGGCACTGAGGTTGCATGGTGGGAGGCAGTATTAGGCACAAACTGAATCCTGACATCATGGCTCCTCCCAGGAGGTGGACATAGGTTTGGCGGCTGACGTAGGAACGCTGCAGAGACTGCCCAAAGTCATCGGAAACCAGAGGTGGGTGGAGGAGCCGGGGAGGGGACTGCAGCGCATCTCCTGGATCCAGGATGACTGCGGTCCCCTGACCCGCCCTTCCCTCTTGCAGCCTGGTCAACGAGCTGGCCTTCACTTGCCGCAAGATGATGGCTGATGAGGCCCTGGGCAGTGGGCTGGTCAGGTAGGAGACGCGGCCTGTGCTGTTCAGAGTTCAGGGGTAACCTGGGCTGGGCTTTTTGGGTCCGGGTGTACCCTCACGGGATTACATGGGGGCTGACTTTATCTGGGTGGTCAACTCTTCAAGCTGCAGTCCAGTGCCCTGCTCTGATTGGCTCATTTCACTGGGCGAAATCACTGCTTTCTGCTGTGATTGGCCACTTACTCATGGCGGGTGGTGAGACTCCTTGGCAGACGGCCGCCTCCCCGCTCTCCCCCACGACGGATTCCCTTCATCCGCAGCCGGGTGTTCCCAGACGAGGTGCGGATGCTTGATGCGGCCTTCGCCCTGGCGGCTGAGATTTCCACCAAGAGCCCCGTGGCGGTACAGAGCACCAAGATCAACCTGGTCTACTCCCGCAACCATTCGGTGGCCGAGGGCCTCAATTACATGGTAAGGCTTTGCCACCAGCCAATCACAGCCCTTCTCTGGTGCCAGAGCGGCCAATCAGGGCCCAGAAACCCTCTGCAAGCCTTGTCCTCTGATTGGTGCGCTGCTTTCTCTTCTCTGTTTTTCATTGGCCCAGTCCCAACCTTTCCCCGCCCCTGCCATTGCTCTCCATTCTCTTCATCCAGGCCACCTGGAATATGAGCATGCTGCAAACCCAGGACATCGTTAAGTCTGTCCAGGCTGCAGTGGAGAAGCAGGAACTGAAGAACGTCACCTTCTCCAAGCTCTGAGAGCCACCGAGGCCCAGGGTCTGGCTGCCTCCCACCTCACTCCCATTTCCTCATCCCCAGAGAAGGAGAGTTAGTAAAGATGGTCGCTGGTGCCTTCTCCCTCGATCTCCCAGTTTCTAACCTAACTCTGATTTCCTCATGCCCAGGGCCTTATCTTCACCCGAACAATAAAGCAACTTAATGAACCCGGTGTCTTCATTGAAAAGAGCAGAGGCAGAAAGGAGCTGCGACGTCCTTGGGGCGGGGCCGGGGGGGGGGGGGTCCCAGGACCGCAGCTGCACAGAAGGTTGGGGATGGAGATTTGACCAATGAGCACCGGAGCCGTGCAGGCGACGCCCATTCAGAGCTGGCGGTGGACGGGTCAGGGCCCATAAAAAGTCTGGCAGCTGCCTCCTGGCCGGAAGGCTCCAGATGGTCTTCCTGCCTGCCCCAGGCGTAAGGGCGGTGTTCACCCTGCCTGGCACCCACTCACTGCACAGCCTGGTGGGAGCTGACGCCCGAGTCTGGCTAGAGTTCCGCTGCTACCCAGTCTTGGGCCAACTGCCTCATTTCTTTTTCTTTTCTTTTTTAAATAGGCTCCAGGCTCAAGGTGGGGCTTGAACTCACCACCCTGAGATTAAGGGGTCACGTGCTCTACCAGTTGAGCCAGCCAGGCACCCCTGCTTCATGTCTTTAAACTTCAGGTTTTCATGTCCATCTATAATCCGAACCTCCTGGGCTTATGTTTGGAATGAGTGCAAGAGGCCAAGGATTAATTTAGTGCCTTCTGTACGCCAAGTCCTGTTCTGAGCATTTATTATCTTAGTGCTTCCTTTCCAGGCCTCTATGAGGTTGATACTACTAGAATCCCCATTTTTCAGAAGGGCAAATGGGGAAATTGAGGCTAAGGTACTGAGCTAAGACGAAACAGCCAGGAAGTGGTCGAGGCAATATTTGAACCCAGAACCTCTGGCTCCAGAAATGATGACCTAAACCACTATACCTACAATCTAATGTACGTGGATTGGGCATGTAGTGGGCATGCAATAAGTGTAAGCCCTTTCCCAGTTCCTAGGGCTGTCCAGAGCACCTGTCCCTCCCTGCTTTCACTTCCTTCCTTTGCCCATCTGTCATGGGCCACTCCTGCAGCCTTGCCCTGCCCAGCCCTCCTGGTCGTACCCTCCCTCTGTTAACAAAGGCCTGGGCAGGATTTTATGGGCTCTGATAAGGCCCTGGCAGGGCCAAAGTTCACTAGCACTAACTCTTTGCAGAAGGACCTAAAGTGTAGCCCCCTCCCCACAGCCGCCCTCACCTCCCAGCATAGCCGAGAGGATCTGGGTTCTAACTGGTGGCCAGGGAGGCTAGCAACAGAAGGGACACAAGCGGCTGCCCTAGAAAAATATGTGAGCCTCGGATGCCCAGAAGAGGAACCCATGGACCCTTCCCTGCCAGCCACTCCCTGTCCCTCAGGTATAAGAGCCGCCACTGCCTCCCATCTGCTGACATTGCCCGCCGCCGCATCTCTTCCTGGACGAGCCTACAGCCCAGCCTCTCAAGATGGCCTATGTCCCTGCACCTGGCTACCAGCCCACTTACAATCCGGTAAGATGGTGACCCAGGACCCAACCATGGATCCCAGCTTAGCTCCACCCTGAACCTCACACACCAATTTACTCTCACCCTGATCCTGAGAAGCCCCACCCCCACCCTGGGGTCTCACTTAGCCAATACTCACCCCGAAGCCTGACTTGCTCCCATCCTGACCCTTGCGCTATTTATGTGCATCCCTGACTCTTGGCCATCTTCATCTTCACGCTGACCCTTCACCCCTGGCGTCTTCTCCTCGATAATAAGAGTTGGGGGCTCCTCAATGAGGGGGAAAGGCTCACCAGTCCCTTTTCACAGACTCTGCCCTACAACAAGCCCATCCCGGGTGGTCTCAGTGTGGGAATGTCTGTGTACATCCAAGGAGTGGCCGCTGAGCACATGAAGAGGTAAGGCGCTCCCCCCACTCCAGACAAGGCAGGGGCGGGGGCCACAAAGAGGGGCTCCCATCCCTAATGCAGGAGGCCTTCTTCCCTTCCTCCACTCTACTGGGGGATGGCAGCTCTGGGCCACTGTACCTAGTGGCCAAAGACCAGCCTGAGCCTGGGACATCCAGGGCTTGGTGACCAGGAGCAGGGGAGCTTGGGGGCTGGGGGTGGGGGGGGAAGGGCAGTCAGGGAGATCACCACCAGAAGCAGCCCAAGAGTTGGGATGTCAGATTGGAAATGATGGGTGTGATAGCACGAATTCAGATCAGAGCTCAGAGCCGGCCAGTTGTGTGACTGTGCAATTGCGTGAGTGGGAAAACCTCTCTGTGCTTTCTTTTCCCATATGTAAGATGGCACTGTTTCAGGGATTCAATGTGTAAAACATGTAGAACTGGAAAGTAAGCATTAAAATTAAGTCTTAGCATTTTTTTATGGCCTTAAGGTGGTGATGACAATTGAACTGACCTCAAGGCACTGTTGAGGTTTTTGTTTTGTTTTCTTTTCTTTTTTCTTGCTTTTTTTTTTTTAAGATTTTATTTATTTATTTGAGAGAGAAAGATAGAGAGAGCACAAGCAGCGGGGAGGGGCAGTGGGAGAGGGAGAAGCAGACTCCCTGTGGAACAGGGAGCCTGATTCAGGGCTCAATCCTAGAACCCCAGGATCACGATCTGAGCCACAGGCGTACACTTAACGGACTGAGCCACCCAGGCTTCCTCTGGCACTGCCATTTCTTTATTCATTGTTTTTTTTGCTTACTTAGGGCCCACTATGTGCCCAGCCCCTGGGGACAGAGCAGTCACCAGGGCAAAGCTCTCTGCCCACATGGAGTTGACAACCTAGTAGAGAGGAGAGATGAAAGATAAAAATCAAATAGACAGGGTCCGGTGGTGCTAAGTGCTATGGAGACAAATAAATAGGGCAAGGAGATGGGGAATGGATGCAGGCAAGGTAGGGGTGTAGCACTGTCCCTTTAAATAGGGTAGACCGGGGGTACCTGGGTGGCTCAGTGGGTTGAGCCTCTGCCCTTGGCTCTGATCGTGATCTCGGGGTCCTGGGATGGAGCCCCGCATCCAGCTCTCTGCTCAGTGGGGAGCCTGCTTCCTCCTCTCTCTGCCTGCCTCTGCCTACTCGTGATCTCTGTCAAATGAATAATAAATAAAATCTTTTTAAAATAAATAAATAAATAAGGTAGACCGCGAAGGCCTCTCTGGGAAGCAAACACTTCAGCAAAGACCCAGGGGAGGGGAGGGGAGGGGAAGGAGTCTGGGAGTAGAGGCTGGTAGCAAGAACAGCCAGTGCAAAGGCCCTGAGGCAGGTGTGTATTTACCCAGTTAGAATAACTTCAGGGTTGCTGGCTTTAGGGGGAGGCATGGGTGGTGCTCAGATTTGGCTGTTCCTTAGGTCCCTCTGGCTACAAGTGGGGAGTGGCCTGCGGCTCAGGGTGGCAGCAGAGTGACCTGACCAGATACCTGTAGGGTTCCTAGGACCGCGTCTGGCCCATGGTGAATAGGGAAATGCAGGAGTCCCAGTTGCCAAGTTGGGAGAGGCTGGGGTGCAGTGGCCTGATAAGGAAAGGGAGAGAGGGAAAGTGTTGCAGAAGAAATATGCCTCCCGGACTACAGGAGCACGGCCCACCCCCTCCTCTCTTGCATCAACAAGGCCTAAGTGTGTTGCCCCTATTTTCCTGGTCCTCCCACCCCGGCTCCCACCCAGTTCAGAGACCTGTTCAGGGACCTTGGAACACCATAGATCAGAGAGGGCTTCCGGAGGAGGGCCCCATGCACAGGCAGATGGGGCCAGGGGCATAGCCCTTCCTGTCCCGCCAGGTTCTACGTGAACTTCGTGGCAGGGCCTTACGCGGGAGCGGACATTGCCTTTCACTTCAATCCCCGCTTTGATGGCTGGGACAAGGTGGTCTTCAACTCGCAGCAGGGCGGCAAGTGGGGCAGCGAGGAGAAGAAAAGGAGCATGCCCTTCCGCAAGGGCGCGGCCTTCGAGCTGGTGTTCATGGTCCTGGCGGAGCACTACAAGGTCCGAGCTCGGGGTCGGGGCCTCCCCTCCTCCCTCCTTCCTCCTTTTCTTCCATCTGTCCCTCCTCCTCCTCCTGCCGCCCCTCCCTGCCTCTCTCAGGTTCCCTTCTTCCCTGCCCCTCTCCCCTTCCTTCTTCCCTTTCCTCACCTTTCCTAACTCACTTTTTTCTTTTTCTTCTTTCCTGCCTATTAAAACATTTTTCTCCTTAAAAAAATTATTTTTCCTCTTGTTTCTCATTCTTCTTCGTCCACGGCAGACAGCCTTCTAACGTTTCATGTGTCTCACCTTGTTCCTCCGTGTTTTTGCAAAATGCGTATTTTTGCTATTTTTTAAAAAGAGTTTATTTATTTGAGAGAGAGAGTGCGCATGCGCTGCAGGGAGGGGCAGAGGGAGAAGCAGGATCCCCGCTGAGCAAGGACCAGATGGGGGACTGAAACCGATGACCCTGGGATCCTGACCTTAGTCAGTCACCCAGGCACCCCTGTTTTTGCTATTTTTTTCTTTTCTTTTCTTTTCTTTTCTTTTAATTTTATTTATTTATTTGACAGAGAGAGAGAGAGAATGGGAGGAGGAACGGAGGGAGAAACAGACTCCCTGCTGAGCAAGGAGCCCCACGCGGGACTCCATCCTACCACCCCCCCGGGTTCATGATCTGAGCCCAAGGCTGATGCTTAATGGACTGAGCCACCCAGGCGTCCCCATTTTTGCTATTTCTTCTGGCGAACTCTGAACACAAACAGAAGGAAGCGAGGGGACAGTCACCCCCTGATCTCCTTGGCCAGCTCCGGTGGTCATGAACTCCCTGTCCCTCTGCCATCATCCTGCCTCACATTTCCCCTCTCAGAGGATTTAAGAGCAAATCCCAGATATCATATCAGGTTATTGATAAATCTCTCGCTTTTCAGGAGCACTGTCGTGATGCCATTAGCACACAGAAAACACTGAGCATTCTTGGAGCGCCTGGGTGGCTCAGTGGGTTACGTCTCTGCCTTTGGCTCAGGTCATGATCTCAGGGTCCTGGGAACAAGCCCAGCATTGGGCTCTCTGCTCAGCGGGGAGCCTGTTTCCCCCTCTGCCTCTCTGCCTACTTGTGATCTCTCTCTCTCTCTCTCTCTCTGTCAAATAAGTAAATAAATAAAAAT